GAAATGACAGAGCTCAATTCTTTAAGGACCCGTGGGTGTATGCCATCCAGTCCAGGTGCTTTATTCACCTTTATACTGTTTAAATATTTTTAGATCATATCAGTTGTGAGCCAATGTGGATCATCTGGAGCTGTGTCAATACCATGCCCATTATGGACAAGAGCTCCCCCATGCTCCTTTGTATACACAGAGCTGAAGAAGGTATTAAATAAATTTGCCTTCTCTTTGTCCCCAGTCACCCACTGTAGATTATTTTGTAAAGGGTCTACATGCTCGGACCGGACCTTTTTACTATTAATATATTTGAAGAATTTTTTTGGGGTTGGTCCTGCTATCTTTTGCAATCTGTCATTTGTTTTCAATTTTCCCTTTTTGCATATTATGTTATATTCTTTGTAATGTTTAAACTATGATAGTTTCATTTTTTATATTTAATTAAAGCTCTTTTCTTATCTATAGCTTTTTTAACTTTGGCCGTAAGCCACATAGGTTTGATTTTTAGCCGTTTAAACTTGTTGCCCATGGGTTTTATTTTTTGCAGTGTGTTCACATACAGTCTTTTTGAAGAACTCCCATTTGTGTTATGTTCATCGATGCCAATATTCCCTTCCAGTCTAAGTCTTGGAGAGTAGCTCTCAACCTTGGAAAATTAGCTCTTTAAATTGAGAGTTTTTATTTTTCCCGTATGTGCTCACTGTTTACAGCTAACAATAAATGAAATCATGTTGGTGCTGTGCAACTCAGTGCATGAACAATAAAGCATAAAAAATATATAATATACAGTTGTGTTCAAAATAGCAGTGTGTTGAAAAAAGTGAATAAAGCTCAAAATCTTTCAAATAGCTTTTATTTCCATACACCCAAATGCATTGGGAACACTACACATTCTATTTCAAATCAAAACATGAAGAAAAATATATCAAATTTGTGTTGTTCCTCTAAAAAAAATTGAAGAAAAGTGAATATTAGACTGTTCAAAAAAATAGCAGTGTTTGTATTCTTCTTTACAAACTCAAACATTCACTATATATTGAAGATTTTGCTTCCCTTTGAATCACTTAATTAATATTTAGTTGTATAAGCACTGTTTCAGAGAGCTGTACATCTGTGTTGCATGGAGTCAACCAACTTCTGGCACCTGTGAACAGGTATTCCAGTCCAGGATGATTGGACTACATTCCACAGTTCTTCTCTATTTCTTGGTTTTGCCTCAGAAACTGCATTTTTTATGTCACCCCACAAGTTTTCTATTGGATTAAGATCCGGGGATTGGGCTGGCCACTCCATAACGTCAATCTTGTTGGTCTGGAACCAAGATGTTGCACGTTTACTGGTGTGTTTGTGGTCGTTGTCTTGTTGGAACACCCATTTCAAGGGCATTTCCTCTTCAGCATAAGGCAGCATGACCTCTTCAAGTATTCTGATGTATTCAAACTGATCCACAATCCCTGGTATGCGATAAATAGGCCCAACACCGTAGTATGAGAAATATCCCCATATCATGATGCTTGCGCAACCATGCTTCACTGTCTTCAGAGTGGACTGTGGCTTGAATTCAGTGTTTGGGGGTCGTCTGACAAACTGTCTCCGGCCACTAGACCCAAAAAGAACAATCTTACTTTCATCAGTCCACAAAATGTTGTGCCATTTTTCTTTAGGCCAGTCAATGTGCTCTTTGGCAAATTGTAACCTCTTCAGCTCATGTCTTTTTTTCAACAGTGGGACTTTGCAGGGGCTTCTTGCAGATAGCTTGGCTTCACATAGGCGTCTTCTAATTGTAACAGTACTCACAGGTAGCTTTAGACCTTCTTTGATCTTCTTAGAGCTGATTGTTGGCTGAGTCCTTGCCGTTTTGGCTATTCTTCTATCCATTCGAATGTAGTATTTTTTCGCTTTCTTCCACGTGTTTCAGGTTTTGGTTGCCATTTTAAAAGCATTTGCGATCATTTTAGCTGAGCAGCCTATCATTTTCTGCACTTCTTTATATGTTTTCCCCTCTCCAATCAACTTTTTAATCAAGGTATGCCGTTCTTCTGAACAATGTCTGGAACGACCCATTTTCCTCAGAATTTCAGAGAGAAATGCACTGTAACCAGCATGTACAACATTTGCTGCCTTCCTTCCTTAAATAAGGGCAATAATTGCCACCTGTTTTTCAAAGAATGAATGACCTCACTAATAGAACTCCACACTGCTATTATTTTGAACATGCCCCTTTCAGTTAGTGATTCAATTACACAGAAGCAGCAGCATGCATGTCATGACTGTTGGGTCTGTTGGATTTCTATTACTCTACTACACCTGCTAGTAAATTATTTGCCATGTAGAAATATCATTTCTACCAAAAACAGTGATTGATCAGGTTAGTGATGTCTGACTGCTATTATTTTGAACACAACTGTATATATGAAAGACAACAAATTAATACACATATACCCCTCACCCAAGTGTAAACACAACATATGCAAAAAACTTGTGAATGGGTGCAAATAATGACAGATATCAGTAACGGCAGCACAAAATGCTAATTGTGCTGGGTGACAGAAGTGAACATATTAATGATGTGTTTGATGTGATAAAGTGAATCAGTCCCAAAAATTAGTAATAGCAGTCCAAAAAAAACCACAATAAATCTTCAGTGCACACCGTGAAACATCCAGTGCTGTAAAAAATATACGTAAATATCCTCCACCTGCTAGCATGCGCTCTCACCTTCAAAGGAGTCATAAAGCATAAAGAACCTTAAACGATGATTCCAAGAAAGTGGTCCTCGATAGCAATCAAAGAGCAAAAGGTCACCTCCAATGGCGCAAACAAACACTCAGGCATGCTTCAGATATGGCCGCAGACCGCTGAGTGTTTGTCAGTGCCATTGGAGATGACCTTTTGTATTAAGTATTGAGTATTGCACTTCGGCTCTGCACTTCAGCAAATGCACAAAGCAAGAAGCAGACAACTTCAAATACTAAACAGACTACAGGTGACCTGTTTCCCCATCCAGTTCTTTTAGCTCTTATCCAGTTTGCTTCTTCATCTCACCAACTCACACTAACATGCACTCCTTACTCCTCCTTCTCACAGTTGTATCCTCTTCTGCACCCCACAACTTACATATATATATATATATATATATATATATATATATATATATATATATATATCATCACCCTCACTCCTGTCTTCACCTTACTACTGTACTTATCAACTCCTGTTAATTCTGAACCCACATACTAACAAAATCTCCAGAACACTGGAACCTATCCCTCCATATAAATCATACTCCCATAATTACCTCCCTCACCCTTCTGCTTCTCCTAACATCTGGAAACATTTCCCCAAATCCTGGGCCGCCATCTTTTTCCTTTGATCAACACACTCGGCACCACCCCCTATCATCTAACAGCACCCACTATCCACACAATCTGGTTCTAGGAAGCAGAGGAATAGTAACTAGCCTCCCCTGTTCCTGTGCCCTCTGGAATGCCCGCTCTGTCTGTAACAAACTCATCTTTGTCATGACCTTTTTTGTCACAAACTCCTTTAACTTGTTTGCAATTACGGAAACCTGGCTTCATGAATCTGACTTTCCACTAGGTCTGGGAGAGTGAGTTGGAATCGTCCTATCCCCTCAAAGCATTTTTCAGGTCCTTCACCTCCCTCTCTGTCCCTCTCCTCATATGAAGTTCACTGTATTCATCTATTCTCTCCAGTTTCTTTAAGAATTGCTTGAGGTGATTGTAGCCGTATTAGTGCATTTGTGACAGAAACAATTGAGTATTGTCCGTGATAATTTTTTTATTTGCACTAACATACAATTTTGAGGACAAGCTTTCAGGGTATGTCCCCTCCTTCAAAGTCCAAGCAATACTATTACAAATCACAAAGTTTAAGCAGAATGTTAGAAGGGATGAAAAAAAAAAAAAGGCTACAGATAAGATACAGCAAAAGCGAGGGTGGGGGAGTTACTACACTCACACAGAGGGAGTCAAGCTAGCTAATGGTCATAAAACTGTTGGATAACGAGTGAGGAATCCCATGTCCAAATTAAGGCCGTTATCTCTTGTGTCAAATAGAATTATCATTCTTAGTTCAAAAGTTTTTCTTTCCTGAATGGATTTGAATTTTCCTTTCAGAACTAAAACATTGAGGTCTCCCATTGTGTGGCCTGGTTGTGCAAAATGGTGTCCTACAGGTGTGCAGAGGTCATCTTCTTTATGTTCCTTGATGGTATGTCTGTGCAAATTCATCCGTTGTTTGCAACTTCTGTCCTGTTTTGCCAACATAAGATCCTTTGCTGCATTTTCTGCACTGGATAAGGTACACAACATTACTGGAGGTGCAGCTGTATGATCTGGAGATATTAAAGATCCCTTTTGAGTGTCTGACACTTTTTGATGGATTGATTTGGTTGCACAGTTTGCAGCATTTTTATTGCAGGGTTTGCTTCCATTATTTGTGACCTCATAAACTAATCAGTAGGAAACTTCCTTCTGATTATTTCTGATGTTGGGGGGTTGTCTGAAGGCCAGTATTGGGGGTTGCTGGAATATTTCTTTCAGAGTTCCATCCTCTGTTATGATGGGTTGTAAATCTTTGATTATTTTTCTTATTCCTTCTAGTGCTGGGTTGTATGTGGTTACTAGAGGTACACGGTTGTTTGTTTTTTTTTTTCTCTTTGTACTGAAGTAGATTTTCTCTTTGTGTTCTCAAAGATATTATAATTTAATAATATGAATAAAATCGTTTAAATACACGGCTGAGGATGTTACACAACTCACTGAATTCATACTTACACACAACTACTTTGCTTTCAATAAAGACATCTATCTTCAATGTATGGGCACTGCGATGGGAAGTAAAATGGCACCCCAATATGCCAATTTATTTATGGCTGACCTGGAGGAAAAATTCCTGAACAGCATGGAACAAAAACCATACAGATACTATCGCTATATTGATGATATTTTCATCAGATGGACAGAAGGTGAAGAAAACCTAAAACAATTTTACTCATTGATGAACACTTTTCATCCATCAATCATACTAAAAATGGAATACTCAAACACACACGTCAACTTCCTAGACACCACAGTATACATCAGGGATGATACGCTTCAAACCTCAATATACAGGAAACCCACTGACAGATGCAACTACCTCCACAGTTCCAGCTTCCACCTCCAACACACGAAACGTGCCATCATACACAGTCAGGCCATTAGATACCACCGAGTATGTTCTGACCCAAGAGACAGAGATAAACATCTCGGGACACTAGCAGACTCCTTCCATAAGAAAGGTTAGGGCTCGTTCACACTAGGCTGTTTTGCCAACGCTTGCCAAACGCCCCTATAGCGTTTGGCAAGCGTTGGTCCGGCGTTTGCGGAGCGTTATTAACGCTCCGCAAACGCTCCGCAAACGCCGCATGCGCGGTTTAGCGGCCGTTGCTAGGCGTTTGCCGAGCGTTAATAATGCCCCACAAACGCCTATAATGCAGTTTGAGTGGTGTTACCGCTCTGCAAACGCCCCGCAACCGCACCGCAAACGCCGGCCGGGCGTTTGCGGAGCGGCACCATAGACGAGAATAGGAGGCTTCAAAGCCTCCTGACTCGTCCAGAGGCGTCTGTTTTGCCGCGACGCGACGCAAACGCTCCCGTTAGAACAGCACCATGTGCTGTAATGTGCAGAATTGGCAGAGGCGTTTGGGAATCGGTAAAAACGCTTCCCAAATGCCTCTCTGCCACCTGCACACAAGGCTAGTGTGAACGTAGCCTTACAAGGACAAAACTATCAACACCGGCATAAACACAGCCTTGAGAACACGAAGAGAAAATCTACTTCAGTACAAAGAGAAAAAAACAAACAACCGTGTACCTCTGGTAACCACATACAACCCAGCACTAGAAGGAATAAGAAAAATAATCAAAGATTTACAACCCATCATAACAGAGGATGGAACTCTGAAAGAAATATTCCAGCAACCCCCAATACTGGCCTTCAGACAACCCCCCAACCTCAGAAATAAACTAATCAGTAGGAAACTTCCTTCTCATCAAGATGTCACAAATAATGGAAGATGTTGGGGAGAGGTTTCCTCCCCCTTTCAACATCTCTTCTAACATTCTGCTAAAACTTTGTAGTAGTACTGCCTGGACCTTGAAGAAGGGGACATACCCCGAAAGCTTGTCCTCAAAATTGTATGTTAGTGCAAATAAAAAAAGTATCACGTTAGTACTCAATTGTTTCTGTCCCTTTCTAATGGCATCTTTCCAAACTCTCTAAAACATGCACTAGTCACCCCCATACTTAAAAAGGCCTCATTGGACCCCGCCAATCTTAGCAACCTAAGACCCATCTCCTTACTCCCTTTTGCCTCCAAACTCCTTGAACATCTAGTCTACAACCGGCTGAGCTGCTACCTTATTGAGAATAACCTTCTCAATCCCCTTCAGTTTGGATTTCGCCCGCAACACTCCACAGAAACTACTCTCCTAAAACTAACAAACTACATACTAACAGCTAAAACCAATGGTCACTATTCCGTACTTTTACTCTTGGACCTCTCCGCTGCCTTTGACACAGTTGACCACCCCCCTCCTCCTCAAAAAACTCCATTTACTTGGTCTCCATGACTGTTTCTCTTACCTATCTCACTGCACTTTCAGTGTCACTTACAACTCTACCTCCTCCTCTCCTACTCCTCTCACTGTCAGGGTCCCCCAAGGTTCTGTCCTTGGACCTCTCCTATTCTTGATCTACACTTCTTCTCTTCCTTGGATAAGATGATAGCTTCCCATGGTTTCCAATACCATTTCAATGCTGATTACACACATGGTTTCCAATACCATTTCTATGGTGATGATACATGAGGAAACTGATGACGTGAGTTGTGCGTCCCCGATTTACTAACAGACATATTAGACTGGATGTCACTCCACTTTCTAAAACTCAATATATCGAAAACTGAGCTCATAATAGTTCCTCCCCCACATGCCTCTTCCCCTGATTTCTTGGTCAGGATCAATAGCACCACTATCAACCTATCCCTGCATGCCAGGGTGTTAGGGGTAACCCTGGAATCTAAACTATCCTTTCAGGCCCACATCCAGTCCCTGTCCAAGTCATGCTAACTCAACCCCTGCAACATCTCCAGAATACGCCCCTTTTTAACCAATGACACCACAAAGCTCCTAATTCACTCCCTCGTTTTCTCTTACCTCGACTACTGCAACTTCCTCCTCATTGGCTTACCTTTACATAGGCTACCCCCCTCCAGTCCAGCATGACTGCGCTATTGTCATTCAAAGTGCGAAAGCGCCGAAAGCCTATTTATAGGTAAAGTTGATCCAGGAAATATCCGAATGCCTCTCGGGGGATCAAGAAGGAATTTTTTTTTGCAGGAGCAAATTGGATCATGCTTTGCTGGGCTTTTTTGCCTTCCTCTGATTCAACTGTGGGTACAGGATTATAACTTTTTTTTTTTTTTTTATGGTTGAACTGGATGGACTTTTGTCTTTTTTCAGCCAGACTAACTATGTAACTATGAATACTGCTGCAATGCTCATCCACCTTACCAACCATTCAGTGTCTGCTACCCCTCTCTGCCAATCCCTCCACTGGCTTCCACTCGCCCCAATGAATAAAATTCAAAGTACTAACAACTTACAAAAGCCATCCACAACTCTGCCCCCAGGTACATCACCAACCTGGTCTCAAAATATCAAGCAAACCGCTCTCTTCGATCCTCCCAAAACCTTCTGCATTCTAGTTCCCTTGTCACCTCCTCCCATACTGGTCTCCAGGACTTCTCCAGCTACTCCAATCCTATGGAACGCCCTATACCAAGCTTCTCCAATCCTATGGAACACCCTACCCCAATCTGTCCGGCTGTCTCCTAATCTATCCACCTTTAGACAATCCCTGAAAATCTTTCTCTTTAAAGAAGCCTATCCTGCTTCTACCTAGTAAACTGCCATTTATTTCCTCAGCTCATCCCCCACAGCTATTACCTTTTGTATCACTCAACCCTTCCTCCTAGATTGTAAGCTCTAACGAGCAGGGCCCTCTGTTTCCTCTTGTACCAAATTGTATTGTAACTGTAATGCGTGCCTTCATTTTGTAAAGCGCTGCGCAAACTGTTGGCGCTATATAAATCCTGTATAGTAAGAATAATAATAATAGGATAATTGCGTGTCTGCTGTCTCTGAGAATGAATTTTATGTACGTTCCTTTGGTAATCTCAGGGGCCACACTTGAGGCCCTTCATATCAAGAAAGTAGACCTAAACAGTCATTTAACCCTTTTCCTTTCCCCAGAGTTCAGTAGTAAAAGGCTGTAGCTTCCCCGTAAGTCAGTGAATGAACTGTGTTTCCTTTTCACAGGATGTGCCGACTTATTTCAGCAGATGGCGACACGACCTTAACACAGCACCTTTGTGTGATTTATTTCGCCAACTGCTAAGGATAGAAACCTTAAAATAGTTTATTGCAGCATAAAATGTATGTTTGTATTGCTTGGAAGCAAATGCCCATTTATATTTTTTTTTTTGTGTAGCCTTGGTTGATTTTTTTGGCTTACTTTCTTTTTATTCAGAGGTTTTTTTTCTGTTAAAGTAATTTCCCCCCAAACAGGAAAGAGGTTCTTGAATCTTTCGATTTGGCCTACAAAGTGTCCCACTTGGTGTCAGTTATGATAAACTTTCCATAACCTAAGAAAGGCTTTAAAACAGCAATAGTATCCTGTTCTTAAAGGTATTCCGGACCCACGGGACCATAAAAGAATAATGTGTATGTCTCCGCCTACAAATAAACCAGTGAACCTGTTTTTTTGTTTTTATTTTTAAACAGCTAGTCCATCAAGAGGATATATAAAAAAAAAATGCTTAGCCCTGATTGTTTATGTTGAGATGGCTCTGTGGTCTTGCTAAGTCAGTCGTTCACATTTGTTTGCAATATATTGCTGTGGTCTTTTTTAAACGTGTTTTGCCGTCTCCCTTAAAGAAGTTGTGTGATGTTGCTAGAAAAGCGTACTGTAAGAGAGTAGGTGCTGCAGCTTTAAATCCCTTCCGCGAAGCTTTCTGTGGGTGGGTGTGAGTCTGAGAACACAGGATGCTTCTGTTCTGTCTCTGGGTGTTAGTAATGGTGTGAATATTCATAGGTGTGAGAAGAAGCTTGGATGAAGCACTTGATGCCACTACCAATGAGCACTTCTTAAATAAGGAAACAATTTTTATATATTTAAACATATAGTATTTTTTATGTATGTATGTGTATAAATACACCATGATATAGATATATATATATATATATATATATATATAATTATAAGTATTCAAACCCTCTCCACTTTTTCAATTTTGTTATGTTGCAGCCTGATACTACAGTTGTTTAAATTCATTTTTTTCCTCATTAATCTGCATTCAGTACCCCATATTGACAAAGTGAAAACAGAATTTTAGAAATGTTTGCAAATTTATGCAAAAAGGAAAAAATAAAATATCACATTGGCATAAGTACTCAGATCCTGTGCAACAACACTTGGACTCCAATCAAGGTTTAGAAACATCTCAGCAACGATCAAGCGAAATGGGAGGCATCTGAGCTAAAGTTCACCTGTGATAAATTAAATTGATTGGACATGATTTGGAAAGGCACACCTCTCTATAAAAGGCCTCACAGCTGAAAATGCATACTGTATCAGAGACAAAGCCATGAGGTCAAAGGAACTGCCTGCAGAGCTCAGAGAGGATTATTGCAAGGCACAAATCTGGGAAAGGCTACAAAAAATGTCTGCTGCACTGAGAGTTCCACAGAGCACAGTAGCCTCCATAACTCTCAAATGGAAGAAGTTTGGCACAACCAGGGGTCTGGGAGCAAGGAGCCAGACACACAAGGAGGTGCAATTAAAGGTAGGTTTATTAATATAAAAATAAGACAAGAGTCTATGCAAATCCAACAGTGGAAATCGTAGCCAAAGCCGGGGTCAAGAGCCAGGAAGAATGGTCGCCAGAAGCCAGAGCCGGGGTCAAGAGCCAGAAGGAGTCTTAGCCAAAGCCGAATCGGTATCCAGGAATGCAATGAGTAGCTAAACAGGAGCTTGCTGCTGGGCAACAGACAGGACACGGATGCAATGGACAGCTGCAACCAGCAGACTTAAATGTGATAAGCCGCACCTCCTGGGGGAGGAGCCGCAGAGGGCTGAAAGCATAAAAGATCCCGCAATGCTTTGCAGACACCTAAGATGGATGCCAGCACATGGAGCAACACAAGCCCTGAGGAAAGGTAGGACCTTGACACCAGGACTCTTCCAAGAACTGGTCACCTGGTCAAACTGAGCAACTGGGGGAGTAGTGCCTTAGTAAGAGAGGTGACTAAGAACCCCATGGTCACTCTGACTGATCTCCAGCTCCTTTGTCCTTCTGGAACTTTATCACCATCTTGATCTCCAGCTCCTTTGTCCTTCTGGAACTTTGTCCCCATCTTCACAACCATCACTTCAGCCCTCCACTGATCTGAGCTTTATGGCAGAATGGCTAGACTGAAGCCTCTCCTCAGTGCAAAACACATGAAAGCCACCTTGGATTTTGCAAAAAGTTTCAGCAATGATTAAAAGGCACCTGAGCTGTATTTCAAGTTACATAGTCTGGCTGAAAAAAGACAAAAGTCCATCCAGTTCAACCATAGAAAAAAAACAAGTTATAATCCTACACCCACAGTTGATTCAGAGGAAGGCAAAAAAAAAACCCAGCAAAGCATGATCCAATTTGGTCCTGCTGGGAAAAAATTCCTTCCTGATCCCCCGAGAGGCAATCGGATATTCCCTGGATCAACTTTGCCTATAAATAAGTGTTGCAAAGGGTCTGAATACTGATGCTAATGTGATATTTCGGTTTTTCCTTTTTCATGCATTTGTGTGTGTGTGTGTGTTTGTGTGATTTTGCGCAGACCTCCCACCCTGTAGCAGTAGTGGTTAAAATGGTTGTAAACCTCAGAACTGAAAAACGAACAAAGCATATCCTTCTATAGTGTGTGTTTGCTTTGATCCAAGGCATCTAGTCTGATATCGGTCTGCTCTCTC